CGGCGGGCAGCGTCGCGGGGCGCGAACGGCCTCTCCTTGCCCTGTCCGCAGGCGTCAACTGCGAGATCGACTTCGACGACTGTGCGAGCAGCCCCTGCGCCCACGGAGTCTGTCTGGACGGAGTGAACCAGTACAGCTGCGTCTGCCCCCCCGGATTCACAGGTGCGCCTCCCCCGGCGGCCCCTCGCGCGGCCATCCCGGAGAGGGCTGCCTCAGGGAGCTTCTCCTCCAGAAGTGGCCGTGCCTTGTCCCTCGTCGGCGAGGCGTCGGTTTCTGGGCTCCTCGCTCCAGCTCTGCTCGCGCCGCCCGGACACTGCGGCGCCAGGGTTCGGGCGCAGGGTCTTGACGCGCCGCCTGGACCACAGTTTCCGTCATGTGCTTGAGCTGTGCCGCTCCCAAAGGCGGCATGACTGTGGGCACCTCCGCGGCGAGTGTCTCTGGGGGCCAGTCTAGGTGAGGGTCTGTGCAGCGGCTTTGTGTGAGCGTGCTGTCACGGGGCTGGGGCGCCGGAGGGCACCAGAAGGCAGCTGCTAAGCTGAAACCCGCGGTGATTCCTCGAGACCGTGACCCTCCGCCCACCGCCCACCTCTCCTGCCGCTGAGCAACCTTATCTCGTGTCCCTGCTGGTCAGAAAGGCTCGAGGCCCCCAGGGAGACCCCAGGCCTCTCCTGACACCCCCGGGTCCATGGGGAGGCGCCCTCGGCGCCCGCCCCCTCCTTTGCGTCACCCGGAGGGGACGATGTTCCCTTTGGCGGGCGCCGTGAGCCGGGGGGAGCCCCTCAGGGCTTTTGAACGAGGCGTCCCCGTGAGGCGGGTGTCTGCTCTAGCGTGCCGGGCACCCGCTTCCTCCGTATCTACCACCTCTCGGTGCTCAGAGGTTGAGACCAAAGAAACAGCTTTTAAAAACAAGCTATTAGTAAAATGCTTGGGAGGAAGACAGCACCCACTACAAATTATGGGTCTTCACCACAAAAACCACCACGAGCGGCTTGGAGTGCAGTGGAGGGTGAAATGCTGTGAGTGCCCTTCCTTTGAGAGGTGTGTGTCTGTTACATTTGGAATTTCCTGTTCTAAATTCAGGGTTACTCTTTGACAGTGAAAATACATGTTTGTATCTGAATCAGGACACTGTATCTTTTGTAATTTATAAATTCCTTCAGAGCAGTGACTTTCCCCACTCATGTCCAGGGTCAAGAGTTGTTTTAAACGTTACATCTCTTTGGACTATTTAGACAACCTCAGTTATTGGAGTTTATAAAGGAGAGCGCTTGCCTCACGGGCAGCGTGCCTTTTGGGGGGCAGGTACTCGGACCTGCAGCAGACATCTTTTCAAAGCACTTGGGTTTGTTTTCGAGGGGAAAGTGACTCCCTTGAGCTTTATATATCCTGATCACTAACCTTACGACGTGATGACTAGCAGTAGCCGACGCCAGAGATCTCAAAAAGTAGGAGCTGTGCTACCTGGATTGTGAAAACTGTGCTTTCCAGACCGTCACAATCTGTGACGTCGGGGCTTAGAGCCTCTTTTTCAGAAAGTACCTGAAGCAACTTGTTTTACATTGAGAACTGGTCTACTCGGAGAGGCCCCCCGGTACCAGAGGACAGTCAAATTATGCGTAGAATACTCTGCTGGGCAGAAAACGGGTGAACACATTCTCAAAATGAAAGGAAACGCCTTTTTTTCTCAAGTAACTTGAAGTACTCACTGGTCCATTCTCTGAGCCTCCCAGCTCAGCGAGGCCCCCCCATGTAGAACTGTAGGAGGCCGACTAGCTGGAAAGATGAGTTTGCGCTCAACTAGTGACAAAGGTCTCTGAGTCCTCAGTGGTGTCCAGAGGAGCAGCTTCCTCGGTGACAGCTGACTTGTTGAAGATTTTTTTTTTTTATTCACACAAGGCCTGGGGTACAGGCCAACGGTGTTGCGGGGGGCAGGGGGGTGAGAGGACGCCCCAGAGACAGAGCGGGGAGCAGAACAGGCGGCTCCACTGAACGCCACTGCCGAGGGGGCCGCGGGGAGCGGGAGGGGTCTGCTGCGCCCTGGGGCCCCTCCCTGGCCGGGATGGGCACGAGCCGGGGTGGCTGTAGACAGCTTCTTAGTGCTGAGACTCTCCCGCCCCCCACACACACCACCAGGGAGCCCTGATCTCCTCTGAGTCCCCCGAGGTTTGCCGGTGCCTCCGATACCTGGAGACAGCCAGCACGTAGCGCGGCTCCGGCCGCCCTGGGCGC